ACATATTTTTTAAGGTTGCTTATAATTACAGGTAAACAAATGAGTGTATGCAGCTAAAGGGTTTATCTTCACCTGTAAAATCCATTTGTTTCAACAAATATATACACCAACATTTATGTTCATTTTCTTTCCAGCTTCCTCGCTATGTTGGACAAGAGATATCAAAAGGCGACAGAAAGGCTTAAAAACCAGGCAAATAGTCAATGAAGAATACCAAGGTTGTAGGTTCTGTGGGCTGACGAAAAGTTTATGAAAGCAGAAAATTGAAGTGACAGGCGTTATAAGTAATGGCTTAAGATACTGCGTACGGATATATATGTGTGTATATATATATATATATATATATATATATATATATATATATATATATATATATATATATATATATATATATATATTCTTTAATAGTTTGCTTTCATGCAATCCAAATATATTTCTTTGTTCCTTTTGAATACGCTTCTTGATATGACTGATCATCCTACCAGTACTCTTTAAAACAGCAAAACGGCTTGACAGACTGTCATAACAAGCATAATAGTATTGCAATAATATTGTTAAATAACAGCCACATTTTGTAATAGATAACTAAAATATAGTCAGAAAGCAATACAAATGTATTAAGTAAGTATTAATGTAAAGGACAATATATAGTACTGAGCCGCATGCGGTATGCAGGCCAGGACACGCCTGGTTTAAAGTATAACAATATATCATACATTCATGATTAGATCATTTTGTTTTTATTGGGGATGGTGGTAGGTTTCTTCAGTGAACGTTTTCAAATCGTAAAGTGTTCCAATAAGTTTAGGAAAGGAAATCTGTGACATCTCTTTAATCCCTTTTCAAAAAGAATGAGTAAATAATTTTGAGAAAACAAAAATCAATTAACAACACTTTCCATGAGTCATGTTGATATTTTCATGTTCATGCGAGGAAGCTAGCGGCATTAAAATAAAACATGTAAACACATTGAACCATATGACTTACAAAAATGACTAAGCGCAGAATTTTTGTCATCGTTCTGAAACATGGATGGATAAACCAAGACTGCAGACACGTTATGTTAAATATTACATTATTGAATTTGTCACTGCTTTAAAATCTGAATTTAAACCTTAATGCTCTATATCAATATTTATTCAGTAATAGCAAATACCGCTTGCTCAGTGATGACTTATGCCATTGGAGGTACTTAGATTGTACGCACAGATCATATGTTCTTATTAATTTACGACAAATGCAGTGTTTTGAGCAAATACGGACAACGAAAAGTTTTGAAATAAACCCCTTAAAATGACTCCCCTTTTCATAATTTCATCATTTTAATTGTCCCTGAACAATTGAGAAATTTAGAACGCTTCTAGTATCTTCTTTATGATAACAGTCTCTTGCTGCAATACAGTAACGGAGTTAACATTTTAGTACAAGAAATGCCAGAAATTTGAATCAAAAATGTTATCATGAATATTATTGGCTCAATATATTATCAACATAATGTATCTGAATATAAAACAATTCAAACAAGTACAACTTTTGAAATAAGCGGTCCATGTTGTGTTAGTAACAAAGGCTATTCAAATTATTTACATGATTAAGAAAATCTTATTAATTATGATAAGGGATAAATAACAACACCGGAATCTCACAATTAACGTGTTGATTAAATTATATGATCTGATTTAACTATGTGGAGATAATCATTATCATTGATCCTGTTTTCTGTCTTTCTTTCGAGGCGGTGGGGGGATGTAATCAATCTGCTTAAAATAAAATACATCATTGTTAATTTTCATCAGAAAAACATGTATACCAATTAACAGAGACCTTGTTGAAAACAAATAGCACTTACTAATTGATATTTTTTCTGGCTGGTACTATATTAATAGCTCTTTTCAAATTCCTGTCCGCAAACAATGACAGTAGGTTTAGCCAATGTAATTATTGAGTGCAGCACCATCGATTTAAAATGTTTTCTAAGTGGTTCACAATTTTGATAGTTTTACGACGTTTTACAACTTTTAAGTCAAAAAAAGGATAATGTAATAAATTATACAATTATACCATGTATAAAGAGGAAATTCGGAGATAATGTGTATTTCAACTCCTAATGAATAATAATTATAAAATACTATATATATTTGAACCTTGTATACTCATCTTGTACTAATACCAAGCTTAGCAAGTACTCACACAATCAATTATCATTAATTTACTGCCATAAACTCCTAAAAACAAGACATCAGGCAAATTTCATTAGTTTTTTATTCCAAAAATAAAATATGGTTACATGTCAAGCAACATACTTCATGTGGTCTTTTATTTTGTTCTTGTAAACATCTGTTGCACACAGACTTTTAAAAAAAGTATGTATAATCTTTCATCAACGAATTCACGCAGATGATTAAAAATGATGGATTGCAATAAATATATTTGAAATTATCAGCATTTGTTATACTTTATTTTTATTGCATGGTGGCAACTTTTCTTTAGGTGTTGACTAAAATTGTTCATTTCTTGGTTCTTTGTTTATTCACTTTAGTCCAATTGGTCCAAGTCGCTTTTAGCGCAGTTCATCAAAATATTGTTAAGTATTGCACTTTCGCCATGTATCCATTCGATGACTCGGTCACTAACTCTAAGACTTCTTCGCTACTTTTTTGTCCATTACAATGATTACTAGTATTAGTAGTATTTCTGACGTCTTAATACACCCCTTGTAATGTTGTATGTGGCAACAAAACCCATCCAAAGAGTGTGAGTGAGAGACAGACAATTTACCACAATTGTGAAAAATAAATTAGTATGATTTTCCAATGCACAATGAATGATTACATTCAGAATGTCTAATTTCACATTTGATTTGTCAACTCAGGCACAATTGCTGAAGTAGCACGTGTGTAAATTTAAATAACGGACCCCGAGTGGCCGAGTGGTCTAAAGCGCTCTCCGTTACGGATCACTGCCATCTCACCTCTGTCTGCCTGTGTTCGAGTCTAGGATTCGGCGAATGTAGATATGTGAGAAAGCTTGACAGTAGCTTCTCGTTGGTCGGTGGTTCTTTCTGGTGATTTTCAAGTTTCTTCCTCCACCATTAATACTGGCCGCCATGAATAGCCTATCGTGTGCTGAAAAATTTCGTTAAGCCCAACAACAACAAATTTAAATAACTATATACCTATAAAATTAAATATATAAATATTTGATCTTTCTTCTTGATATATTAAAGTGATCACATTCTTCTTCTGGCTGTGCCTGTGTTATTTACTATATCGCTATCGTACATGGATTTAGATATATGGCTAGTAGAGCGAAACCATGAATAAATGACGCATCAGTAAAATGCGTCACTGATGAGCGATTAGCCATCTTAACCATGCATTATTCTAGAAAATTATCAGTCTAATACGAAATACAGTATGTTATGAATGTGAGCATTCATAGCGCTAGTACCCATGATCATTTTGTTATGACTGTACCTGTTATTTTGTCTGAAACCTTTCCCCATGCATAACAAATTAGGAACAAGACCTTATTGAGAAATTTTAATTCCAGACCATCTGAATCACAAGCGATAATTTTAATTAATGTAAGATAGTAATGTTATATATCCTTTCTACCTCCGTTGTATGAAATAAAATTGAGTTAATATTGTTACGACTCAATGGTCACAAACTAATAAAAAAAAGCAAAACCAAGTTTTGTAAAACTTAACAAATAATTTTAATTATCAAAGTTATAAATGAAAGTGCAAGAGTAATTTATATCATCATGAGGTGAATCCAATCTAATCTTTATAACGGTCTATAAAAGTTCTAAACGAATAAAAAGTTCCTTATAAATTTCAAAACCGGAAATGTACTCCAATAACCGTGACATTGTCAAGATGGAGTTATCCAGAATTCTGTTCCAAAATAATATCGTCGATATAAACAGTACTATCTTTCTCCATTTAAAAGCTCAAATATATTTCCTCTCGAATAATATTTAAACATACGTGACAATACACTACTCATTATGCGTCGAATTGACCTATTCGTGTGACCTAGTCCAACCAATGGGAAGTTACAGACTTATTCTAGAAACATCGAAACTCCATAGGCCACTGAGAACTTAAGCCATAAGCACTATATGTCTTATTATTATTATTATTATTATTATTATTATTATTATTATTATTATTATTATTATTATTATTATTATTATTATTAATTTTCAGCGCATACGTGAATACTTTTGTAAATCCTATGCACTTATGATACTCGATTACCCAATCAAAATTTAACTAAAGATATTCTGTAATAATAACAGATATGACTAAAAATTACAAAATGTACAAGGAGTTACAAACAAAATTGTATACATAATATATTTATAAAGGTGGTTTGCGGTAGGTTTGTGGTGATTTGTGGTGATTTGCGGTAAATACATTAACTACTGAATGCAAATGTCACAAAATAACACACATTAAAACAAAAAAAAATGTTAGTTTGTAAAGAATAAAATTGGACTGAGAAACGCATTATATGCTAAGTTATCATATTATCATGTAAAACTAATCTCTAGCGTTATATTGAAAAGCTAAATATAATTAAGTGTATTTGAAGCTATACCCGACCGCCTCTTATCTCTCCCCCAGCCCACAATTCCACTCCTCCCCCTCCCCCTCCAACACACACACTCAGCAGCATAACAAATGAAAGGATTTTAAGTATTAAATTATTTTATTTAGAGCAGTTCCCAGCAATAGCTGCTAAATGTGCCAATTTAATGTTTCAAAATAAACACTGTTGAAATGAAACGTTTCTTGTCACATAGCCAAGCACAACTAAGCAGATATTTGTAAACAACGAATTTAATCTGGCTGTTGAGTTGATACTATTACGTAAAACGGGCTTCTTGCTGTACATAACGCAAACCATATATAATATTTGTTTATTTCTCGTTTAGCGATCAAGCTTTTTAAATATAACAATTCCTATTCACATCTAACTAACGACTCCGGTGGTCTAGTGGTTAGAGCGTCCGCCTCAGATACGGGAGGTCGCGGGTTCGATCCCTGGCTAAACCATACCAAAAAATGTTACTAACAGCTGCCTCGCTTGGCGCTCAACATTAAGCGGTTAGGTGTTAGGACTGGTCATCATGGTGTCAGGATAATGTGACTGGGTTGGACATTTTGCCACATGTCTGAGGCCTGATGCCCCAATGCTAGACATCACTAGTCATACTGCAGACATCGTAACGATATTACTGAAAATTTGTTAAAAGCCACATGAAAAATTAAAATCACACACATACACAACACTATTCTAAAAATCACAGGAAGTAGCACAGAGTAGAAGTATGAGAACCCACGACCTTCCGCATCCAAGGCGGTCGCTCTAACCACTAGGCCACCGGAGCGGTCCATACACGAAGGTGTTAGTTAAGTTCTACCAGAAATATCTTTTCAAGTTTGTGTGTGTACATACTAAAAGGTAAACAAGTTACATTTCATATTTTTTAAATTACCAATATGTATATGCATAGCCTTTAAAGTGAAGTTATTATTTATATCTTTATAAAATTTCCTGTGGCAACAAAACAAGCAAACAAGAACAAGGTAATTAATCCCTCCATACTTTTCTGTATCGCAAGCAAGTTCAGATGCAAGTACTGAATGGTGCACATGACAATACTCAACACATTTTTTTCAAATTTTTCTTTTGTTGTATTGCTGAAGAAATTTAAAGAGAAAAGTTGTAATATGAATAACAATTAGACTAAATGCACTAAATCTCTTTATTGTCTTTGCAATGAATAAAAATCTTCTATCCTATGTGAATCTCTCCTAAACTTTGATGCATAATGTAGAGGAATCTGCTTCTTGTGAATCAAAAATTGTCAGGGTGCTGCTTCATTTCCTCTGCAACTCTCTTTTCAATAAGTGGTAACTGTATCTGATTAAAGGTTAAGTCTCCGCTTATAAAAACTTGCTTTCCAGTCCGTTTTGCCAATCTTGTTGCCATTGCAAGACAACCGGAGTCTGAATTTCCAAGAAGTACTGTTGAACATGGCATTTTCCCAGAATTCATTGCAACTGTAAAGTCACCAAATTTGGCTGGGGAACTTCCAATCCAAAGCCAAAAGCTGTCTGATAATTTTAAAACTTGAAAATACATGTAAGTATCCATTATCTTCTCTGAAAATGTGTGGATTGCAATATTGGCTGGAAAAGGAATATTTCCACTGTCTGCTTGTTTTGTTTCCATCATTCTTCTCCTCAAACTTGTATAACCTGCAAAAGTAGCAACATCATCAAGACTATCACTGATGATAACTTTTGCTGAAAACTTAATTTAATGACTATAAGTGGTATTAAAAACGGCAGCTTGAAAAAATATTTAATGATACATGCACATACTATACAAAGATGTGCCTTCTATTATAAATGAAGAGCTTCAGTTTAGTTTCATATATTTTTAGTTTAATGACCAACTGTGAACTACGAATTCTCGAATTAATACAAAATGCAGGAAATCATTCTGGAAAAAAACACTTTTTTTATTTAAAATGTGACTAACACCATTTTTTTCGAAACTGATTCCAAATATCTTATGTAAGAATTCAAAATAATAAGAATCCCAAAAAGGATCTTAAAATTTTTGCCTGTTAAAGTTGTGGCCAATTTTAAATACTCTCAATGTTTCATTCTGTTGAACAAAATTTTAGGTCAGAAGGATTTGTTGAAGATTTCCAATGCAGGATAAGATGTTGATATTTACAAAGTATACAGTCATCTCCCAAAGTGACATGTGTGAATGGTCAAAGATGGAAAAACAAATGGACGAACATGTTCACAATATTTTAGCTGAAGAATTGTAAACAGCAAAAGGCCACATCTGCACCATTAAACTAATATGTGTACCAAATTACATTTAGACTTGTATTATTACATCAAACAGTTCTGCTGGTGGATGGATTGATGAATAATGGTATTGTTGTTTTTAACACGTTACCTACAATATGCAGAGGAAATGAGAACTATCTTCCCAAAGAGACATTGAAACAGCCGATCAGGGCTGGCCTGAGAAGGTATCATACCTGAAACTCTTGAACTGTGAAGTAGGATACTCTACCCGCAACTATAGACTACAGGACAAAATCATTTAAACTGAAGAACTGTGTATTGTAAATTGTTTGATTTTGGATATATGATCTAGAAAACAATGTGTATGTGATAAATGTATGGCTGAACAAAAATGACAAAAGTTATGGAAATTGGTCCTAGAGGCTGGATTACTTGACATGAGCCAAGCATAACATTATCAAATCTGCTGCACTGGAGATATCCAATGTTACAAAAGCAGGTCCCTTCATTAAGAAAGTCTCTTGGGCTCATTTCAATCAACAGGTCAAGTATGTTGTTGAATCATAAGCACTGTTGTCACTGGGAGATTATAAGCATGACCTTAGACATGGAGATACTCAATTGGTGGAAGGGTGAGTAGGCATATGAATAAAAATGAAACAACTTTAGACTGAAAGCACCTACAGCCAATGTCCTCTGATAATGTACTGGACAGATGTAAGGATGGAGCTTGTTGTTCATTCTGGTAATGAACAAGACCACTGAGGATCTCTAACACATTTGGAACAGTGAATCTGATACTGACCAATGCAGAGACCATTCTGTAAGAACCACACGACCTTGGCATGACAGACTGTCCATCAGGATATTCATTTTGCCTGACACTTGGCAGATTCAGAGAATTATCTCCTCCAAGACTTTCCAAACATTCAGGTAAACAGAAGGAGCATGTGTACATCCCTGGTGCTGGCAGTGTGCTCCTATTGATGTGTTGTCTGAGGTTACCATTACACCATAATGCCATATGAGACTGACAAACCACTCTAAGGCTACGAACACATTTCCAAGTTGTTTATAAAAAATGTTGTTTCTTTCCAAGATCACAGTCTCCTCTAGCTCCAAGTGAACACCCATTCCTGAACCTGAGGGGTTTTAAACACTTTAAATTTTAACCCATCAGAAATCGGTCCGATTTCGCCACCAACTCAGGTGATAGGAAAAGTTGGATTCCATGGGATCCGAGCTGACAATTGGTCCTTGTGTGGTTTATGAACTGAAGGAACTGAACTGGCTCAAGAATGGCTTCCCCATCAGGCTATGGGAACCAAGTCTACAGTTGAGTTCTGACTGACTGACTGACTGACTGAGAGAGAGAGAGAGAGAGAGAGAGAGAGAGAGAGAGAGAGAGAGAGAGAGAGAGAGAGAGAGAGAGAGAGAGAGAGAGAGAGAGAGAGAGAGAGAGAGAGAGAGAGAGAGAGAGAGAGAGAGAGAGAGAGAGAGAGAAACAGACAGACAGACAGACAGACAGACGGTTTAATGCAAGTCAAGAACATAGTCTTGGCCAGATGATCTGGTATGAAGGGCTGGATTGTTTTGATCCTGTTCAAAAGAACATGAACCCTCCCAAGGCCCAAATGTTCCTACCCATATCTATGAAGTTCTCAGACAGGAAGAGATTCAACATGTCTAGACTGAGAATAGAATTGAGATGAGTTTCTGTCAATTCTGTCAATCAACTGAGGGACCAGTGCTTCATAAGAGAATCTCAGAAGAGAATCTCATAGTACGTTGTGATTCATATAGTCTTTCAAATACTGTTGAATGATATTTCTTAAAGACCTCAAGTGGACTGCTGCTACCCCTATCAACCTAGTACAGGCTTTTAGGGGGCAGATGTGATGCCAAATAGATGAACTGAAAAGTAAATTACCTCCTGGTTGAGACAAAACCTGGGCTATTTTCTGTGTAGTTGAAATGGAGGGATGTAAGCTCCTTTGTCAATGGTCATTTCATATTTTTTATGTACAATCCTTGAATGTTTTTTTTTCTGTTCAGCACATCTGTGTATGACTTTTACTATCGAGTTAAGGTACATTTCATACAAATTATGTAGACATTCAGTACCAATTATTTACAATAGTTTGATTATACTTACCTTTAACTGATTAATGACTTTTTTGAGCCCCATACATACTTATTCCTTGGAAAATCATTAAATACATGCCCAGACAGATACATATGGCAAATATCAATGGTAAAGTATGTGGAAATGTTTGAACATGGTCAAACTATAGGTGTTATCCAGGGCAAACTGGATTGGATGTCCTGTGCTGTGATGTCACAAGGATAGCTGCATATGTTTTGAAGTAACAATAAAAAAAACTATCCTAACATTTGTTATAATAAACCAATTTACTCTAGGAACCATGGTAAAAGTCTACAGTGATCAAAATTTTAATTTGAACATTTTTTGATGACATCTTATGAGTAAAGTATTCAAAAATCTGTATTCAATACAATTTGAATTGACTTTGGTTAAGATGTAGTAATAATAAAACAGCAAATAAACATTTAATTTAATCTGACTAAACAGGCCTACATGACATGTTTTAATTAAGGTTTTCTTAGTGCAGTAAGATAGAAAAAAACAATATACTGAAACCATGCAAAGATGTTAATTAAATTCTCCTTTTAACTAAATACAAATTACTGAATAACTGGGAGAATATTTTAGAAAAGAAACTATACATGTAATGTTTCCATAACAAAAAGAATGTGAACTCGCATTTCACAATTCCTAGATCTTTGCCTGCCAAATTTAGGTGGAAAAGGGTATTTATAGCCATATTTATTAATTCTCCTTAATTAATCTGTGACCATGTGAGAAACCTATCAAAACTGACATATACCAATAAAATTAATGTAATAATGAAACAATATATATATATATATATATATATATATATATATATATATATATATATATATAAGATATCAACCTGATATTTATACTTTGGGGGCGGTATATCTTGCATTATAGGTCATCAAGCTTGTTATGAAGAGTACATGGGGATATATCACTGTCATTTCTTACTCAAACTTTGCTAAAATAATTTATGCTTCCATGGTAATGTGAAATCTTAGTCCTACAAAGTAATACATAGCACATGTTTTTGTTCCTGTTCTCATGGTCTTACGTGGTAGGACTAGAGGTATCTCTGAATCTGATCTGAATGTGCACAGTGCTGGACCAGTTACAGCAAAATTTGCACAGGAAGAGAAAGTAGTCGTGGTATGTTCGAGAGCTGTCTTGAAGCTCTCCAATGATTGTGTGCACACAACACTGTTACTCAGAGGATTCCAGTCAACAACTGTTTTGCATAGAAATAATTCGAAAAACATCCATTATAATTTGATCTTATATAGTAATTTGGAAAAGATTTGACTACTTTATTCTGGCGTTTTTGTCTTAAGGGTTTCAAAAATATATTTGGTAAGAGAGCCGGAACTTCCCTTCACTATGAAAAAAGTACATTTCTGAAAAGGTGAAAGT